ATTAGCATGTTTATTTGTTTATTTGACGAGGTCATAACATTTGCACTCACAAGTAAAGTTAGGTTAATGCATGACACATAAGTTAACCGTTTGCCTAGATTCGGAGTCTCCATCACAGAGGGCATGTTCTGAGATGCTTGGTAACATCCTCAGCGTGCCAACTTCTGGTTGGCTATTCAAGATAACATCAATCCATTAAAACTAGTTTTACTCTGGTTTGTCCCTGAGTTCAACTTCAGACAAAACAGTTCGAACAGCTCAACAGTTCGAGTGTTTAGGAGAGCAAGCTTTAGACCGGCCATCTTTAGCAGACCTCTTTAACCAAGGATTTTGACACATTGTCAAAACCTTAAACCTTTTTTGCACCTGCGAAGCTGAAACAACAAGATAGTTTCCTGCAGAACAAAGCAGACTCAAAACTCCTTCAGAGTTATTTTTAAGACGCTTGGTTTCATTCATCTATCGTTGTGACCCGGAGACATCTGAGGACTGATTTGGTCGCATCGAGGTTTCTCTACGAACCAGGTGCAGTGGGGTCGTCGGCTCCTGGACATCTCGGATCCAAACGGGGTCTCCAAACGGGTGAGGTAGAGCACAGCAAGATAGCATCTGCATGTGGTTTTGATAATAACAACTTATAGCTTAACGCAAACCAAATTCTTTTATATCCACAACTCAGCTCTGAGAACGGAGATTCTGAATACATTATATTCACACATAGATTCCAGACTATCCTTTAGTTCACATCCACTCACAGTAAATAAGAGTTTAAACCACTTGTCAAGTCTTAAATGTTTGTAAATAAATTCTTACTTTGTTTATAAACCTGACTCTTTCTTGAATCAAAGGGAAGTCTGTACAATCCCTTAATGAATAAAATAATCCTAGGATCTTCTAATTGATCATCCTAAAACCAAGCAGTTTCATGAGCCGGGGTGAAAACTCCTCATTCACCTTCCCATCTTTGAGTCTCTTGCCAGGAGAGGGAGTGCCCAGCTGTTCCGATCAGCAATCAGCGGGGTGTTTCCTACTGAAGGTGGATGGAGGACACAATTCGACGCCGGAAGATTGCCTCAGCTTGGTAGTACCCAGCCACTCGAGTTTATCTCTAGGATCTCTAGGATTATTGTTACTTGTAGTGTTTTTGCTCTAGGTATTTTAGATTTTTGGAATTTTTGCTAACTGCCAGGAGCTGACTCTGAATTATTTCCCTCCTTCAGTATTCCTGTGTTCTCTGGTCACTACGTTTTGGATACTTGCCTCAGGACTCCAGGATTTTGGATACACAGAACACTGGACCCACTCACCGATATCCATAAACTCTCCTCTGTCATCACTACTCAGTGCCCCCATCCACCAGGACACCCCACTTATCTCTCCCCCGGCTTTCAACCTGCTCCCTCCTCCAGCCAGCAACTCACATCCTACTGTATGTTCTGCTGAACTATTCTGACCAGAAATGAACTTCAGAAACTAAGACTTTTGCTCACCAGTGTTCTCCCTCCTCCAGACGCAGAGCTCCCGTAGCTTTGCCAGCCACAGACAATTCTGTGCATCCTCAGTTTCCTTTTTCAATTTTTTTTCAATTCAAGTTTATTTATATAGCGCCAAATCACGACAAGAGTCGTCTCAAGGCACTTAACATAATAAAAATTCCAATTCAGGTCAGTTCATTAAGCCAATCAGAAATATTTTTTCCTATATAAGGAACCCAGCAAATTGCATCAAGTCACTGACTAGTGTCAGTGACTTTACAGCAATCCTCATACTAAGCAAGCATAAAGCGACAGTGGAGAGGAAAACTCCCTTTTAACAGGAAGAAACCTCCAGAGAATCCTGGCTCAGTATAAGCAGTCATCCTCCACGACTCACTGGGGCTCGAGAAGACAGAGCAGACACGCGCGCGTGCGCACACACACACACACACACACACACGCACGCACGCACGCACGCACGCACACACACACACACACACACACACAGACTAGTAATGTGTCTATAGTTATATTGTGATGTCTTAGTAAATATTCTATTTGGTGAAAGATAAACTTTATTGTATTTTTATTATTTTATTTATTTTTATTTTCTGTAAATTTATTTTATTTTTACCCCGTTCTTGGTCTGTGTTGTGTTCTGCATGTCTTGGGTTAGGTGTCTTCCCCCAAACATGACAAGCAGGGGATAATCTATAATATTTATTTAGATTATCACAGCTATTGGTCCCAAGTAGTGGTAGTAATATAAAGAGCTTTTCAAGCAATTTACTTAACCCAATTTATCCTCTATCATCATTACACCTGTATATGGATGACTTACCAGGACTGGCTGTGCAGCTGGGGGTGTTGTCATAAACCATCTGATGTATGCAGTGGTTCTAAATCTACAGCAGTTACTGGACATCTGTTCTGACTATGGAGTAGAACACAACATATAATGCCACTAAAAGTGTGGTTATGATTTGCTGGGCCAAGGAGGACAAGCAAATGAAGTTTCCAGATGTGTATCTGTCAGACTCAGTGATTGGCGTCACCAACAAAAGCCAACTATCTTGGTCACATCACAGAGGACTGAGAGATGATGATATGTGCAGGCAGTGCCGTATGTTATATGCTCAGGGAAATGCTCTCGCTCCTAAGTTTGGGTCTTGTTCTGATAAAGTAAAGATAACCTTATTTGAGGCTTATTGTACACAGCTTTACATGACCCATTAATTAACAACAAGAAATGGAGACTTCCAGGCTGCAGGTTGCCTATAATGATGCTCTGTGTTTGATACTGAGGAACCCTACATCAGTGGTTCCCAAACTTATTTAGCCGCGCACCCCCTTCTATGTCCCGATCATGTTGACGCACCCCCCAGCCCCACATCAGGGCATGGCTATATATCAGAATCAGAATAAGCTTTATTGCCAGCGCTCCAGCAACCCAGAGCATAGGAACTTGCCTCCGCAAACACAACCTGACCAAGGTTAAACACACACACCTGTAGACAAAACAGGTACAGGCAGTCCACGAGAGCAGCCAGAGCGGCGCTCATACAGCCAGAACGGTGCTCATATGTATATATATGTATATATATATATATATGTGTATATATATATATATATATATATATATATATATATATACACATGTATATATATATATATATATATATATATATATATATATATAATCAGACGTCACGCTAAACCAGGGGTCGGCAACCTGTTCCCATCAAAGAGCCATTATTAGCCGTTTCCCACAGTAAAGAAATACCGCAGCAGCCGCGGCGTTGTGGGCGGGGCCTACCCTCAGACAGCAGAGCGCTGCTCACAACAGGTGACAGCAGCCGGTACCGGTCGCTCGTGTACGTCAAAGCTATCTTTCATAAAAAGATAATCAATAAAACGATTTATATAAAGTGGATCCAGAAGTTGTAGCCCGTCTCTGCCTACAATATATTTTTCACCCTGTTGGTGGTTTTACTGAGCAGGTGCCCCTTTTGTCATACGTTTCTTTTTAAAACATGTTTAGACTGTTCAGAATACAAATCCAGGCTCTGTCACGTTTGATTGTTGTAATTAAACTTTGTAGGTGGGGAAGGTCAGAAAAGGATCCGATCAATTTGTTTTTCCCTCATTTACAGCGACGGAGATAACAGTGCAGTGCGCCTGGCTCTGGTGGTAATCAAGCTTAATTTTATCTCTTTGCAACAATTTTCACAAGAAAACAGAACAGTTAAAAGCAGGGCTTGTGTTGACCGGACAGTTCCCGTATTCGGCCGTTTATTTTGACGGAGAAAGAATAGAAAGAATTACCCCGACGCATGCAGACGAACTGACACTTTATTCGTTTCGCAAATCGCAGATGTAGCTAAATCACTCAAGAAAAGATTTCCTTCTGAACATCTGAGCTGGACACCTCTCAGCGCAGCTCGCTGTCAGCGCGTACATAAGGTGCACAGCGAGCTGAAGATGTGGAGAGGGGCTTGGAGCGTGCCGCAGAACCAGAGCGCATGCGGGAAGATTCCTTCCACTGAAGCGAGAGTTTTCCAAACCCGGTCTCTCAGAGAGACTTGTCACTTAGAAAATGTTCCCTGATGATGAAACTTTGGCTGAAATGTGCTTGTTCCTGTCTCCAATGTGGCGTCTGAGGAGAGTCCCAGAATCTCACATCGTCTTCAGCTCAGAAAGCGGCTATATTACGCACAAGCGTGACGCGTCAACCCGGTCACACAGTAGGCCGGGTTGGACCTGTTCAGGTTTACGCAGACAATCTTTACATTTAGAATTAGCTTACAGATGTAAAATTTATGCAGTAAAATATAAAGCATTTTATTTAAATATCCATTCATTATTTTACAAGCACAGAGAGCCGCATCAGATGGATGGAAGAGCCGCATGCGGCTCCAGAGCCGTGGATTGCCGACCTCTGAGCTAGGGCATGTGCGGAGGACAGGGGCGTGTGGAGTGGCCTGGGGTAGCACATGCCACCCTTAGAATCTGATTCGTCACCCCAGGTGCCACCCTACTAAGTTCCAGTTTAAAATGACTTCACATTGTCGACAAAAGGCTTGAGTTGAAAACTCCAAAAATAGTGTGTGGTAGCATGAACCTTTAACATTGTCTTCTAGCCCAGGCATACAGAACATTTCTGTAGTATTAATATTATTTATTGTTTTTTTCATACTCACATAAATAGTATTGAGTCCCACTCAACTCCAGTTGGTGGCAATAATGCAACAAGAAGTGACTTGCTAACCACAAAACTAGAAGATGAATAGAAAAAAATGGTGATTGTGCAATGTGAAACTCCAAAATTCACTAGAAAGTAAATAAATAAACAAATTGTGTAAATAAATAAATGAGCATAACCATTGGTGCCACCCATGCATAAACAAGTGCCCCACATGGGCCACCCCATTTTAAAAGTCCTGGACACGGCTCTGTTAGATTCATCATATATTTCCCCCAGTTTCAGCTGAGTGTCTCATTTAGTAACAAAACATGATTGTGAACTTTCTCTCAAGTCAAGTTTATTATATAGCCCATTTCATACACACAACGGTAGCTTAATGTGCTTCACATAGTTAAAACAATCACAAGTGAAATGAAATAGTTAAAATGTCACATCATGTTGTGTAAAATAAAATCTAAGAATATTGACACAGAACATAGTACACAAAAATAAAAGCATATCAAGTACAATTATTGGTAGCGCTTTCTTTTACGGTCCTCTAATTACTCAGTACTTACATGGTAATTACTTAGTAAGTTTGTGTATTGTTTCTGAGTTCTTAATTATTACCATGTAAGTCAGGTTCAATTCTAGTTTTTATTTTTATAAATCATTCCTAGTATATACTGCTTTACACAGTAACTACACGTTATTACAACTATTCACTTCAATTACACAATAATACACAATAAAACAGCACAGAATAGGTATACATAAAAATACAGGTAGAATAAATTTAACACAGTAAAGAAAAAGGCCTAGTAGAGCACAGATGCAAGGAAAGGTTGATGGAAGGCATCATGAAAAAGTTTAGTTTTTAATCTGGATTTAAAAATGGAAATGGTGGGAGAGGTCTTAATGTCTATTGGAAGACAGTTCCAGAGACGGACCGCAGAGCAGCTAAAGGCAGCCTCTCCGTGCTTGGTGCGGGCTCTGAGTTGTACCAGTTGGGATTTATCTGCTGACCTAAGTGATTTTGAAGGGTGATACGTTTCAAACATCTCTGCTACATACAGAGGTCGTTGGCCATTTAATGATTTAAAAGTAAGTAAAAGGTCTTTGAAATCAATCCTGTAAGTTACGGAAAGCCAATGTAAATATTTTAAGATTGGTGTGATGTGATCATTTCTTTTGGTTCTGGTCTCTTGCTCCCTGTCTCTCTGCTCTGTGTAACGCACAGCCTTCAGACCTGCGGAGAAAAAAACCTACAAGATGCAGAAAAAAAGGATAAACCTCCAACCTTCATATTGTCAGCAATAAACGCAGCAAAACTTTACTTTCATGACCAAAAAAACCCCATAAAAATTATTCAGTAAATCAGGAGAGCAGGAACAAGTCTTATTTCTGATTTTACATTTTTTACTTCAATTCAAACTATTTAGACTTTTGTGTTTTCATCACATTTAGCTTGTATTTTATATAAAATATAATCAGCTTTACAGGTTAGCTGTTCCTGTGTGCTTAAAAAGTTATGTTACTAACCTTCTAAAAAATTACCAAATCATTCACATGAAGTAGATTTGTTATTCATTATCTGAAAGTATCTGATTAGTCTAAAAAACTAAATATGTTTTGTTTAATTTGGTTTTCAGAATGTCACTAGTTTACTTATACTTTAATAAAACATATATACTGATGTACTGAAATACAGAGAAATCAACTTGTGAGTACAATGCATGTTAATATAGTAAGCATAGCATGTTTAACATAAGCACATTCACACATGGAAAGTATCAATGTAAATAAATCATATGGCAGTAACTCTGCTGTACTTTCATTGTGTAAAAGTAGCTCACGGGCCAAAAAAGCTTGGAGACCCCTGCAATAGATCATTCAGCCCTAGTGGATGCTTAGATGATTGTTTAAAGTTTTCTTTCAGTGAAATCTACGTCCACAGAGCTCACAAGCAAAAGGCTTCGGTCCTTTATGGACTCTTTTGTGACCTTTTAAATTTGTCTTTTCGCTAAATCTTTTCCACCGAACTCACAGGCGAAAAACCAGTGTGGGCTCTCATGTGTCTGTTTAAAGTTGTCTGATGGCTAAATCTCGTTCCACAGAGCTCACAGGCAAAAGGCTTCTGTCCTGTGTGGACTGTCATGTGACTGTTTAAAGTTGTCTTTTGGCTAAATCTCGTTCCACAGAGCTCACAAGGAAAGGGCTTCTCTCCTGTGTGGACTCTCATGTGTCTGTTTAAAGTTGTCTGATGGCTAAATCTCATTCCACAGAGCTCACAGGCAAAAGGCTTCTGTCCTGTGTGGACTGTCATGTGACTGTTTAAAGTTGTCTTTTGGCAAAATCTCGTTCCACAGAGCTCACAGGCAAAAGGCTTCTGTCCTGTGTGGACTCTCATATGACGGTTTAAAGTTGTCTTTTGGCTAAATCTCACTCCACAGAGCTCACAAGGAAAGGGCTTCTGTCCTGTGTGGACTCTCATGTGTGTGGTTAAAAAAGTCTTTTGGTGAAACCTTTGTCCACAGTGCTCACAAGGAAAGGGCTTCTCTCCTCTATGGACACTCATGTGACTGTTTAAATGTGACTTTTGTCTAAATCTCATTCCACAGAGCTCACAAGGAAAGGGTTTCTGTCCTGTGTGGACTCTCATGTGACTGTTTAAAGTTGACTTTAAGCTAAATTTCTTTCCACAGAGCTCACAGGCAAAAGGCTTCTGTCCTGTGTGGACTCTCATGTGTCTGTTTAAATTTGTCTTATGGCTAAATCTCGTTCCACAGAGCTCACAAGGAAAGGGCTTCTGTTCTGTGTGGACTCTCATGTGACTGTTTAAATTTGTCTTATGGCTAAATCTCGTTCCACAGAGCTCACAAGGAAAGGGCTTCTGTTCTGTGTGGACTCTCATGTGACTGTTTAAAGTTGACTTTAAGCTAAATTTCTTTCCACAGAGCTTGCAGGCAAAAGGCTTCTGTCCTGTGTGGACTCTCATGTGTCTGTTCAAAGTTGACTTTAAGCTAAATTTCTTTCCACAGAGCTCACAGGCAAAAGGCTTCTGTCCTGTGTGGGCTCTCATGTGTCTGTTTAAATTTGTCTTATGGCTAAATCTCGTTCCACAGAGCTCACAAGGAAAGGGCTTCTGTTCTGTGTGGACTCTCATGTGACTATTTAAAGTTGACTTTAAGCTAAATTTCTTTTCACAGAGCTCACAGGCAAAAGGCTTCTGTCCTGTGTGGGCTCTCATGTGAATGTTTAAAGTTGTCTTTCGGCTAAATCTCGCTCCACAGAGCTCACAAGGAAAGGGCTTCTCTCCTGTGTGGACTCTCATGTGAATGTTTAAAGTTGTCTTTTGGCTAAATCTCGTTCCACAGAGCTCACAAGGAAAGGGCTTCTCTCCTGTGTGGACACTCATGTGACTGTTTAAAGTTGACTTTAAGGTAAATCTTTGTTCACAGAGCTCACAAGGAAAGGGCTTCTGTCCTGTGTGGACTCTCATGTGTCTGTTTAAATTTGTCTTATGGCTAAATCTCGTTCCACAGAGCTCACAAGGAAAGGGCTTCTGTTCTGTGTGGACTCTCATGTGACCATTTAAAGTTGACTTTAAGCTAAATTTCTTTCCACAGAGCTCACAGGCAAAAGGCTTCTGTCCTGTGTGGACTCTCATGTGACTGTTTAAAGTTGTCTTTTGGCTAAATCTCACTCCACAGAGCTCACAAGGAAAGGGCTTCTCTCCTGTGTGGACTCTCATGTGAATGTTTAAAGTTGTCTTTTGTCTAAATCTCTTTCCACAGAGCTCACAAGCAAAATGTGTCTGTCCCGTGTGGACTCTCATGTGTGTGGTTAAATTATTCTTTTGGTGAAACCGTTGTCCACAGTGCTCACAAGCAAAATGTTTCTGCTTTGTGTGAACTCTTGTGTGTTTGTTTAAATGTGTTTTATGGCTAAAGGATTGAAACCTGGCAGCATCAGTCTCCTTATTCAAATGGAGATGCTCTCCCTCCATACTAGACCAGAGTTTCTCCTGTTCCTCCTTTTTGTGGAGAAAATCTAGGTGCTGGTGGTTGACACGAGCACTCTGTTCTTCTGAAGCTTCTTATTTAACCAGAACCACCTGTTGAAAATCTGTAGGAAACACAGAAACATATATGAATTACAGACAGCTGTAACTTTGTTTTCACACATATAACAGTTGTATTATTTCTTTAAACTGACAGTAGAATGAAATGTATTTACAATTGGAAACTGAACTTTGAGCCTCTATAAATCATATGAGCCTTAACCCTCAGGCTTCACTTTAATTTTCATACAAAAGAGTCATTAGAGGACAAAAACGTCCACCTGTAAAAGTGGCTATAAAAATGAATACATTAATGTTTTTTTTTACTTTTTTTTTCATAGATCTGTTGAACAACTTCAGCCCTGCTCAAACATAAAAAAATTCAATCATTTTGAGTAGGGCTGCTGAATTAATCGAATTTTAATCCAAATTACGATCTGAGTTTTGAACGATTATAAAAACAAAACAATCCGATTATTTGCTCCTCCTACTTGCGCTGCCCTGAGTTCCAAATGAAGCGCTCCTCCCACAGTGTTGCCAACTTAGCGACTTTGATGCTATTTCTAGCAGCTTTTCAGACCTCCTTCTTTACTTTTAAATCCTAAAAGTACCTAGCGAACACCCCAGAACAATCTCTGGTAACCCTTAGCTACTTTCTGGATAACTAGCTAACCTGCAGGAAATGTCAACGATAAACACTCCGCCTGCGCTCCGGACCATTCTTCAGGACATTAGGAAAGGGAATGATGTAATGATGTGTCAGTCGAGTGACACACACCATACCTGCAGGCTCCTGAGCTGATAAAAACACCTAATGTGAGCGTGCTTGCCCCTGATTGCTGTGAGACTGGGTTGGGGGGTGGGGGGTGCAGCTGTGGTTGGGACAATTATTACATTAACTGATGGACTTGTAAATAAATAGTTTATAAATAAGGTAGAAATAAGTTCCTCACGCTGATAAATAATAACTAATCTCTCTGAGGACACGGTGCTAGTGCACGCAGGTTTAAAACCCCAAAATTGACTTCACTGAAGGACTGGAAATGATCAGTTTAAAGACTGAAGGCAGAGATGAAAATTACCTCAGCCTGACCCAAACAAATTCTGGTTATCTGAATCATACGCCCTGGTAACCTTGAGCTGCAAGCAACTAAAACCCCCACGACGGAATGCAGACAGATGCTGTGAAAACCCGACCTGTGACTGTACAGTAGATGAGCGCCGCAGATGGTTGCTCTCGCTGGGGGAAACAGGATCCTAGCTCCCCGTGCCTTCCTATTGGAGTTTCATGTTATGTTGTGTTGTCTGAAGTCTTTTGCATTTTTGTTGAGGTGATTTTTTGCAGAGCAAAGCTGCCCTCCTGGTGGAGGGTAATTCTGAAGTGCTTTTTTTTCCCTCCACCTGAACCAATCCACATGTAACCCTCTTATCTCTATTAAGGTAGCTCGACTCGGGTTGAGAATGACTATAGTCACCAATTCTTGTCAAGTGTCTTGCCCATGTATGTCTGATCTCTGAATTGTGTGTACTGAAACTCTAATTTCCCTCTGGGATTAATAAAGCATTGATTGATTGATTGATTGATGTACTGTTCTTCGGAGTGGGGTTCGTACCTCACCACTTTTGGCCTCTTCCTGGGGAACTGCACCTTCGTCTGGGTCCCTTTAGGAGTCTGGTTTGTTCAACGCCAGGTGGTCTCTGTACGGACCACCATACCATTGAAAAGGGGGGGTATGTAACGAAATGAAATGACTGTTTACCCCTTTCCTCTGACACAGAACTAATCTGCATGAGATATTGCCCCAAGGTCTCATGCATTTCTCTAGGGTTGTCACGATACTAAAATTTCAAACTCGATTCAATACTTGAAAAAAAAACCTCGATGCTCGATTTCGATACTATTTAAAACACCAATTTATTGAACAAGTTTATTCAAAAAATAACATTCCTCAATTTATATTGCAAAAATTAAATGTTAAGAATTAAGTGTGTAAAGTGCTTAAACCTTTCAAGTATCAGCATTTTTTTTAAAACGTGCATACAAAAACTGGCGAAAGTTAACACTTTAAATCATGAATTGTCTCACTATATATACACAGTGATGTTTTGCTGCTTCAACTCTGTTTAAGTAGCATTTTTGTCATAAGCTGTAATGCCATATGTTTTGTTCTGTACTTTTGAACAACTCTGTTGGTCAATAAAGGGAGAAAACGAATTTCTCCACAGTAGGACAAAGGTACATCTACCGGTAATCTTAATGAAAACAGATTGGCGCACGGCAGTGACGTCATTAAAAGCGCCGGTTAGATTAGCCGCGGCTAGTCTGTTCACGCCTAGAAATCCCAGACCCGCTCCAAACGAACAGGGAAATCACGTTAATGATTCCTAACAAAACCTTTCGACATGAAGATGTTTTGGTGCAGATAATGTCTTATTTCGAGGCTGCACCATGGGTGCCCGTCCGCACCCGTTATATGGATATACACTGATGGTGATTCGCCAATGGATCTAACTACCCCGGGGAATCCAAGTAGCACCAAAGTTGTCAGCGTGAGTAAACAAACTTACTGCATGCTAGAAATTAAGTCCGGGTTGCAATAAACAGGAGTTTCCTTTAAGCACATAAGCGTGAATATACAACTACGTGTTGGACTTGGTATGCTAATTAAGTTGGGCTGTGAAGCGCCTCCCAAATTCACTGTTTATGTTTTTGTTTATTTATTTGGCAGACAAAACTTGGATCGGAGACAACTCGCGTGGGAAACTGCAATGTAGCCATGCGGCATCTTCTTCTGTTTGTCTGGGAGGCGGAGGTTGCTTTACGGCATCTGGCTGCCGTGTGTGTCGGTGTACTTGAAGAAGGCTGTGTATAATAGTCCATAATATCGATACCACAGGGATGGAATATCTAATTTAGATACCACTTTTATTATCGATTTATATCTAGGTATCGATTTTTTTAACACTAATTTGCTCTAAACTGTTTTCCTTTCCAGCCCAATAGAAGAATGAAGAAAAGGACTCTCTTTTTAATAAATCAAAGAACTCTATTTTTAATAAAGCTAATCAAACAAAGTGTTAGTTAATAGCAAGATGTGACCAATCTGTGAAATGAAAATATTAATGACTTTATTATAATCCTATAGAATATAATAAGTAATATAACTTTAAATGTTCCCACTAGGACTGATCTCACGTAGCGTTACGACATGACACATTGCTTTTACTGATCCAAACAGAATCTGCCAGCATCCGAAGTATAAAACTATGCCCACGTCATCTTTAACGCCAGTTCAAAGCGTTCGAGAGAAGTTGACGGAGTGGCCAATCCGTAACTTTCCTCTTCAGCCGAAAGAACCAACGACAAGCTGGATAAACCTGTTGCCGTTCCACCTGCTGCAACGGTTCCTTTCAGAATAACAGATGAACCATCACGACCCCGTTTTGGGTCTTGTTAGATGCCGATAAACTGTCGTGACCCGGAAGTATCTCTAAGACTGGACTGGTCGGCTGCCACTGCTGTTCTACAAGCTGCGGCTCCAAACGTCCAAGATGGACCTCTACACCTCCTGATCTAGACGGGGACTTCCACCAGGGTACGTAGACCTTATGTATTTATGAATCTCCGAATTAAAGCTTAGTGCAAAGACATCACCTTCACTTCCACCAGAACTAACCGTTTCTCCGGATTTGCTGGTTCCGAACAACATTCCACACTACACCATTCTCCGTCTCATTTCACCTTAGTTACACCATACTTTTAGTGTTTAAGTTAGTCTAGTTTTAATTTGTTTAGTAATAAATCTTTAAACTTTTAAAACTTGACTCTCTCTTCTGTTGTCTCTGAGTGAATATGAAGTGTTACATAATCCCTGCAATAAAAAGGTCCAATCTTCTGGTTAAAGGTACCCACAGATCCATAAGGTTGATTCCATATTTCCTATGGAATCTCATGTCTCAGGGTTCATTAAATAACATGTAAATTAACCATTTACAGAGGACTTGGTCAGAAGCCGAGCACAGGCGTTCTGAACCACCTGTGGACGGTTCAGGGAGGTTCTACTCAGACACGTGAAAAGAGAGTTACAGTAGTCTAAGCGTGAGGAGATGAAGGTGTGGAGAACACTCTCAAGTTCAGAGCGGGACAGAATGGGACTCAGCTTAGCAATGTTCCTAAGATGGAAGAAGGAAGAGCGAACAAGAGAACTGACATGAGAATCCAGGGTGAGAGCTGGGTCAAAGGTCACACCGAGATTCCTGACAGAAGGGTTGGTGTGAGAAGCAAGCTGACCAAGAGAGTCTGACTTTGGGAACCAGCTTGTCTGGGGCACAGATGAGGATCTCAGTCTTATCTTCATTCAGCTGAAGAAAGTTCCCAGCCATCCAGGCTTTGATAGAGTCTAAGCAGGTGTGTAACAGCTGCAGCTTAGACATCTCATGGGGCTTAAAGTACAGTTGGATGTCATCCGTGTGAAGACGGTAGGAGATTCCTATAAATGAGCTCAGCAGGTGCTGTAAAGGAAGCAGATAGAGCAGGGCCGTGCAGAGACCTTTGAAGGGGTGGGTGCTCAAAGTTAAAAAAAGGGGCACATATACAGGGTTTTTCCTGCATTCAAATTAGCGTGGCGGCCGCCTCCAGCTATTTTTGTGCCACCCCAGCCTGATTTCACTCTGCCCCCAGCTATATGGATGTTATTTTAACTGTAGTTGCAGCGTTGCGCCACTACAGGGCGCTGTATCAGCAGCGGTGCACCAAAAAGCACTAAAACCGCTGCAGAAAAAGATCAAAAATAGCTTTTTCTTGCTAGGTGGTACATATGTCTCTATGGTTGGTGCTGTTAACGTCCTGATTTTCCCCCAGGCTCTTCCATATCAGAGCAGGGCTGTAACTGTCTGTGCGTGTCTGTCTATTTTTAAATGTAGCACGGGTGCAACATCTTTGAATTACTATTTTCCCCAGAACTTTGTTGAACAAAAGTAAGTTACGTGTAAGAAAATGCTTTTTACTGGCGCACAGTGTGGCCATCTGGATGCAGTGGAGGAAAATAAAGGAACCAGCAAAGCC